ACTGCGTGAAACACACAGGTGTATAAAAATACAACTGCGTGAAACACACAGTAGTATAAAAATACAACTGCGTGAAACACACAGTAGTATTAAACTTCAACTGCGTGAAACACACAGTAGTATGAAACTTCAACTGCGTGAAACACACAGTAGTATGAAACTTCAACTGCGTGAAATACACAGCAGTATGAAAATTCGGCTGCGTGAAACACACAAACTTCACGCATGCGTGGAGTGTATGGAGTACGGGAGTGATTCACGCAATCGTGCGAATAGTCACGGCCCATAATAATCCACCCTTGACATTTTACCCATAATTCTCTCCACGTTTTACCCATGATATTCCACCCTTGACGTTTTACCCATGATACTCGAGGTTTTACCCACGATATTCCACTCGTGACGTTTTACTCATGATATTCCACCCTTGTCATTTTACCCATGATATTCCACCCTTGACGCTTCACCCATGACATTTGACCGATGATATACCACCCTTGACATTTTACTCATGATATTTTACCCTCGATGCTTCACTCTTGAAATTTTACGCATGATAGGTTACCATTGAAAAACAAAACATTGAAAAGAAGAAAAATCAGTTGTCCATTTTGCCCCTGGGGTCCATTTTACACCGCAGTCCGTTTTGCCCCCTGGTCCATTTTCCACCCTCCCCTACCTTCAGTATAACACATAGTTCAGGCGTCTTTTGCCTTACGCTTGAAGGTCTCAGGTGCAGCATAGAGTGGAAGAGTTCCACAGTAAGTCTTCACCATTGACATAACATCAACGAATTTCCACATCCGAAAGTCAGAGACAATCACCAGGGTGTCTTTTTTTCCTCAAGAGACAATTGAATGTTCTCTGACTTCATATCTCTGTGGGTAATTCTTCTACTGTGGAGATGGCCTGCATCATCCCAGATCTGTCAGAACATAAATTTGGATGCACTCTCTCTTTGAGAATGCCCTTCATTCGCTTCACTTTTTACGCTTAACCCTCGATATTTTACACTTGACACTTCACCTTTGATATTTAGTCCTCGATATTTCACCTTGGATATTCAACCCTTGATATTTCACCCCTAACGCTTCATCCTGGATGCTTGACCCTTGATATTTTACGCTGAAGTTTCACCCTTGAAATTTCATTCTTGATGTTACACCCACTCTTGAAATTTCACCCATTCCCTCGAGTTGTTGCTTGAGTGATATCTAAAGATCAGG